TACATACGTTAGACATTACGGGTTCCTGGTGCATGTCATTTTATTTTTCAGATCGGATTCAAAAATGACTGACTGGCGGCCATTTTGTTTTAATGAATGGGCTTCTAGAGCCATATCTCTGCTATGCTTTGACTGATTATGTTCAAATTTTATATATTCATTATACATCATATTATAGATATATACATGTATTCAAAATGGCTGATTTTGTTTTAATTAATGCTGTTCCAGAGCAATATCACTCAATGTGGACAAGTACACGATCAGATACAAATGTCAATCATTTTAATGTTAAACAATCATCATAATCATATTCCTGACATGGTTATATTCCAGCTATATTACTATAAACAAAACTATATATCTTAAATTCGATAACTAATGGGGACTGTGCGATGCACGGCTTGTTCTATTCTATTCTATTCTATTCTATTCTATTCTATTCTATTCTATTCTATTCTATTCTATTCTATTCTATTCTATTCTATTCTATTCTATTCTACAATTACCAAGGTAAACTACTGCCACCATCGCTTCCAATGTTTCATTTAGAGGTTTGTTATTGGAAGTGCGTTAACAGACGATGATACCAATACGTTTTTGTAATTATGTCATGTGTCATATGACCCCTAGGCTTACTCTTCACATTTCCTGGCGACGTCTGTCCATTTCCATTCGAATAGATGTACTACAGATGCACACGAGAAACGTGGAAGCATATATCTTCAAGAAAAACATTTTTCCTTCTCCAAATTATATATTTAAATGTAGCTGAAAGATAAGTTGTTATGGAAATAATAAACTTCCAATGATCAAAGTATAACTGTTTTTACTATTTTATTTATTTGGATCAAATGCATATGAATAAAAACAAACATAACGCAGACGAATGAAAATAAATTATTGCGGAACAAGGACAATACAATCGTACAAGAGGTGAACTTGTAGGAATCTCAATCTTACATTAATAATTATACATTGGATTGAGATATTTTGTATTATGTTGGGTGCATACATTCTAATAAATCAATGTTTTATTTTTATTTGATTCAATTAAAAGCTATGGCTTTCCGCGGATGAACATCATCTTTTGTGTATTTCGATTTATTGAAATAATTGACGGCGTGTTTGCCAAAACTAATTAACGAATTTGATATTACTACATCTATTCAGGTTCAAATAATTATTGTAATGTGACACAGGGAAAATACATAAATCACACTCCCGCGTTATTAGAAACAAGTTTTAATATTCACAAACATAATTTTACCCTATAATTCCATGCCAAAGATGTTAACACTTCTAGTCATTAGTATACAAGAATATAAATAAATGTAGATAATACCACATACTTCTTCCAAGATTTCTTTGCAATACACAATTGTACACATTTCATGAGACCACAGTGTAAGGTATACTCGCCATATACTTGTCTATGTCAGTTGCTTTTGTAATAATGAATTCGAATCTGCAATATGGCTGCTTTTAAATCAAGACTCCTTTCGCTATCTGTATTGTATCAAGTCAGACGTATTTTAATGTTAAAGCTTCCCACATGAATGAACTGGAAAAGATGCGGTCGTCCATTGTTGTGTTGTGTTGTGTTGTGTTGTGTTTGTTTGTTTGTGTTTGTTGTGTTTATTTATAATACTACCTTTAAATTATAATAAATAATCAAATTTAGTATGACTCTCTTATAATTAGTTACTGGGATGCCGTTTATATTGACAACAACATGAAATTATTGCCGTTATCAGGATAATATCCACATCAAATGCCCAGATCTGTTACCTCTAACGGTCAAGCATATTGCGTTTGCAAGGCATATGTATATGTGTATATGAACTATTTCTTGGACATTATTTACCCACCTGGCCCATTCCCAGTCAGCGGACAAATCAAGAACTTCTGCATCTAAAACAAACGACGTTATTCAAATATTTATACGCTAACATTATCCATTTACTGGGACACTGTTTGTGTTTACATTGTTCGGAAACAATTTTTTACAATTTTCAGTTCATTGTAATGGAACTAATATATTTTATGTACGGAGTTTCTGTCATATTCATTGTCCCTTGGTGTGTGACGAATGTTGCATGTGTTATGTAATTGTCAGCTTAGTTGTTCTTCTCTATCATATTGGTCTTGTGAAGTAAATTGGTACGCAATTACTGTGAAGATGTTTTTAGATAATTCCTTGATGAATTAATCAAATTGTATGATTTCTCATATAATAGTATAACTTCACAGTTATGTGCTTTTTCATCTCATAGAAGTAACGTATTTTATGTATTGATTATCATGTTATAGCAGACATAGATATTCTCATCGTTCAACAACATGAATTTTACTCAGAGAATAAAACATTCACTACGTAACGTGATCCAGGCGAACTGTTGCGAGCACCGCCATCTTGAACAATTTTCTGTATAGCAACGGTCCGTACAAGTGGCAACGTCCCCTATTCCTACTACTTGCGGGAAGGTGAAGGCAGATTCTTATCAAAGCAAACCATCGATAAATCGATAAACTTATTAAATTTGGTATAAAAATAATACAGATGAAAAAAATTTAGTTGCATGCGCACGTCCCGTCGGCAATAAATAATGAGTCTGAATAATTAGTATTGTGTATCAAATGACATCCGTTATCCCCACTCTACTGGGCCTGTGCGCTTCTTCTAGGTATTAAAACATTGCCGAAGTGGTATCGCAGCGCACCATTTTGAAAAAAAATATAATTTTTTTGATGAAGGCATAATGAATAATAAAGGTTCAAAATCAAAGAGCTCAACACTTGTGTTGACAAAATCTGTACTAGTATATACGTTTGTTATAACAGATATTTATACATATTTGTGACATTCAAATTAGTAGGGGGTATAATCAAGTAGCTGTATTTCAGGTATCGTTTTTCATCCCGTTATTTGGCAATTACTATGCACTGTCCTCCCTCTTTGATGGCCTGGATTGGCCACGGTTTCATGTAACACAGAAATTGGCACAATTATTGGAAGTAGTCAAGTTCGTTGGCAGATATTTATTGACACTAGAGTGGGAATGCACGTGTCAGGTCTATGTGTTCATATTTACACAGTGAGAATATTTACTAACGAAACACAACGGTTTACTATGGATGTCGCTGGATGGGGTTGACTAAACCACAACGGTGGGAAATGTTATTGTCAAATTCACCTGGCTTTGGCGTGAAAGATAACACATGGTATGTATCAAGTTCAAATGATTACACCGCTTAAACACTCACATAATTAACATATACGGCCAGCATTTGTTAGAACATTTTCAGTGAGGCACTAACAATAAGAACATCGACACCATGAGCCAGTATAGCTGAATAGTCTAGTGGGTGGGTATGCAGTAACCTATTATAAACAACATCCATGCACAACTATATAATTTATCACTTTTAAATTAGTGGGTCATATCAAAAATTTTACTAACTGACCTTCATCTATCACAATATAATGATGTAAAAATATAAAAGCTACAGTCAATATCAAAAACATTTAGGGGTACATTTTTGCTATACATCATGAGCTGTGAAAGTATATATCATTGTTTGAGAGGGTCTGTACTCTTTATACGGATTCCATGCAGTGACAAAGACAGCTTCATTTGTTGGTATTTATGTTTTTCAGAAGTATTTTTGAGCCTATTGACATGAAGTATTTTGTGGTCGGATCATTTGTGGCACTGTTGTGCACTACCGTATTGTCAAACAAGTATCCTTACACAGGTGAGGACAAACAGACTGTAGTGCATTTATTTGAATGGAAATGGACTGCCGTGGTTGAGGAGTGTGAGAGGTAAATTATTAGAACATGTTTAATTTGTGCATCATTACTCTGCCAAGTATCTACGTGGGTAGATATTACTTGCAGTGTTATCTTCTAGACAAGCCATCAAAGGAAATATTATTTCGCCAATTTACAGAAACAAAATCAATTACAAAACAAGATCTAACCTTAAACGAAATAAGCTACACGAACTTTGCAATACTCTGACCTGTTTCAGGTTTCTTGGTCCCTTGGGTTATGGAGCTGTTCAAGTATCCCCGCCCAATGAATGAACATAGAATAATATTGGAACCAGACAGACCATGGCATGAACGATACCAACCTGTGAGTTATATGATAGAGAGTCGTAGCGGTAATCGTGACGAGTTCGTTGACATGGTGGATAGATGTAATAAGGCTGGTGTACGCATTTATGCGGATGTAGTTATCAATCACATGACTGGAAAAAATGCAGGTAATATATAAATGGTAGATTCTATAGAAACCAAAGCAAAAAATGTTTTCACTGGCATTGCCTGCAATAGAATTTAATATTTTCAATAACAAAGTTGAGAACATTGATCGGGTGATCAGTGCTAAAATATATACCCCAATATCAACCCGTGAAAGATAAGTGTTCAAAAACTGATGAAGGCAATCTGTTGGTCATCCAATTTCTCTCCAACTTGGCAGGATGGTTGGGCAAGTGATTGTGTGATCAGATGCGTGAGATCTTACACTTTGGCAATCCATTTGCTTATATTATTCTACGAAGTTATGCGGTTAATTTGATTTCTTTCCATCCAACTTCTTTAGGACATGGTTATGGTATTGGTGGCAACAAGTTTAATGCAAGTAGTAAAAGTTACCCGGCAGTACCATACAAATATGAACATTTCAATGGACAAGACACGTGTAAATCTGATGATGGTTTGGTTCACAATTATACCAACCCTGAAGAAGTTCGCAACTGTAACTTATTAGGTTTACTGGATCTCAGATTAGATATGGACCACGTTCGGGAGATGGTTACCAATTACATGAATGATCTCATTGACATGAGTGTTGCTGGATTCCGTATAGAATCAGCTAAGTATATGTGGCCGTCTGATTTGGAGTATGTTTATAGCAAACTTCAAGACCTCAACACCACTTATTTCCCATCAAATTCCCAGCCTTTTATATATCAAGAGATTGTTGATTTGGGCGACAATGAAGGAATATCTTACCGTGAATACACCGATTATGGCTGTGTTACAGAGTTCAACTATGGTGTAGAGCTCGTACGGTTTTTCGGGGGAGAAGAGCCACTGAGATGGTTAGAAACATTTGGAGTAATATGGGGATTCTTGAAAAGTATTGATGCATTGGTGTTCATTGATAACCATGAAAGTCAGCGAAATGCATTCAATATGAGTGGTAGTTATAGTATTATCACTCACAAAGAACCAATTGACTACAGAATGGCAAATGCATACATGCTAGCATGGGATTATGGTTTTACACGTTTGATGAGCAGTTATCAATGGGAATTTGGATGGGAAGGGCCTCCACATGATGAGAATCACATCACTAAAGACGTACACGATGATGAAGGAAACTGTGTAAATGGATGGGTGTGTGAACACAGATGGCGATCAACCAAAAATATGGTAACCTTCAGGAATGTTGTGAAGGGAGAAGAGATGAGCAATTGGT